AATACAACCATATGGTCCTATGTGATTTTTCCTATCAATTTATTCTCTTAACAAAGAGACTTTACTTTTACTTTTTCAGTTTAACTTTACCTAAACTGTCTCTAAAATTTAAATGGATTATTCTAAATATAATAGGATAAGCAACCAAAACCAAATGGACCTTAAGCACGTAGCAGCTTGGTTCAATGGTTCAATGACTCTTAGTGACTGAGCTGGCAATAGGTCAACTGTCTGGAATGGAACTTGCTCTCTTGCACATTAGTAACTTAAAGCATCACAAGCTTCTAAGCTTGCAATTCTGCTGCTGAGGTGCTCACACACTGTATATGTGAAATGGTCTGTTACCTTTCATCTCTAGCTACAGCCTGGGTATCACCATCATGCATAAAACAATGATGATGAGATCAAGTAGCCAATTGGTCATGGGAGACCTGAGAGTAAATGTTGCTAGCAAAATTCATCCTAGTTATGATTACTATTTTGAAGGGTGAAATGTGTGTTGAGTATTTCAGATTGGGGTATTTTCCTGCCAGTTGTACAATACATACAATCCTTAAAGAGGCATTTTTTCTAGGAAAAAAGTCATTCTAAAATTGAGGTCTTAAAATACAAAATGCAGCTGAGGTCTGACCAATCAAAGATAAGCTCCCCAATACTGAAGAAGAAGGAAAAAGATATCAGCTTCCTTGAAAACATTTCTAGGAGGACATTTCCTGTATCTGATATTTCAGCTCCAGGACTCAATATTAGCTTTCTCGCACAGGCAGCAGGGGTAGTCAGGCTGCCTTCCTGCTTTGCTTACAGAATGATAATGAATGCTACAATTACAGGTACTTTCTAGCTGTATGAATTAATTCAGAACTATATTAATGCCAGAAAATATCACTTTTCTGCATCTTTAAGATAAGTGACTTCATTAGACTACAACCTTTCACAGAATCATAGAATGCTTAAGGTTGGAAGGGACCTCTAGAGATCATCTAGTCCAACCCCCCTGCACACGCAGGGACACCTAGAGCACGTGGCACAGGACTGCGTCCAAGCGGGTTTGGAAGATCTCCAGAGGAGGAGACTCCACAACCTCTCTGGGCAGCCTGTTCCAGGGCTCTGTCACCCTCACTGTTAAAACATTTTTCCTTAAGTTCCTGTGGAACTTTTGGTATTTCAGTTTGTGGCCATTACCTCTAGTTCTGTCAGTGGCCACCACTGAAAAGAGGCCAGCACCATCCTCTTCAGTCCCTCCCTTGAGGTACTTACAGACACTGATTAGATCCCCTCTCAGCCTTCTCTTCTCCAGGCTGAACAGGCCCAGCTCCCTCAGCCTCTCCTCATAGGGCAGATGTTCCAGGCCCCTGATCATCCTTGTGGCCCTGCACTGGGCTCTCTCCAGCAGCTCCACATCCCTCTTGTACTGTGGAGCCCAGAACTGGACACAATACTCCAGATGTGGCCTCACCAGGGCTGAGTAGAGGGGCAGGATCACCTCCCTCAACCTGCTGGAGATGCTGCTCTTAATGCACCCTAGGATTTCTTGATATTCTTTTCATCAAGATATAATTGCCAAACTCCTCTCAATTTCAATTCAATACATTTTCTGTTAGTCAAGACAATTCTTATTTCTTTCAGAAATTACTTTGCCCACCAGCTTTTTCTCCCTGCTGCTTCCACACAGCACTTAATAACTGTCTATCATTAAGATACCCTGTTCTAAGCCTTGTCTATGAAATTTCCTTTCTTTTTTATTTCCATTTCCTTCATTTTCACTTCTCATTTTGCTTCCAGACCTCAGCTAATTCCATAAAACTACAACAATAAATGTCACAATATCTACCCTTAGATATGAATCTGGAATTCCATAGCAGCTCTTCCAATCATGTGGGAGTTTGCATGGAGCACATTAGACAGCTCAGAAAGCAATCCACAAAAAAGTACATCAAGTGGGATGCAAACTAACTCTACCCACAGTGAAACACTGAAGAGAAAGGATACTGTATCTTACCCTCCTCAGAGCGCATAGTCACACAAACACGCATAGTCATTTTCTTTCCTAAGAAGGGAAATTTGAAGGACTTGTCCCTTTTCATGCAGCAACTAAATGACTGCAAGATTCACACAAGATGCAGGCGATACCGATCTAATTCTCAGTCCTACCAGAAATGCAAATCTACACTGGAATTTTCTTACCAGAAATCTCAAGTATTTCTTCAGTGTGAAATGCATAATGCTAGGAAAGCAAGCAGCCTGAAAGTCAGTCATCACAAATCAACTTTGCAGAGATACTGTTCTGTAGGCTGAAGGACTCACTCTGACTAATATCTGATAACAGAAGCATTAAGGTAACACACTGCTATTCTTAGAACCACAAGCGGGGTGGGGGGGGGGGGCACCCCTGGAAATTGTCTAAGCCCATCCTTTATAACCTCAGGCAAGGAACACAAAGGCAACTGCTGCATACCTGTGGCTGTAAGAGACACAATCTGCGAGGCTTGGCTTCACACACCCAATCTGCACCAAAACTGGACTGTGCACATGACACCTACCAGCAGTGACAAAATGAAGCCAAATACTTTAAAAATTACTTGTAAGTATTTAACAAAAAGCATGACTTATCATTACAATTACATTCTAGCTCTCTGTCTCTTCTAGTGCTTTAAGTGCTCTCTGAACAATATTCTTTAATTAAAATAAAAATTACTGGGATCAATATAAGGGTAAAGGAGTTAGATTTAATTAACCATGATATAGAAAAAGCCAGATGGGATGATCTAATCATTTCTCATCACTCTAAAATGTAAGTCACATTAAATCGTACTTTCATCAGAGAAATCTTACAAATCCAATATAAGAATATATGTTTTATCATTATTTTTTTCTTTTAGTCACTGTAAAATCTGGTTCCTCAATTCAGCTACTATTTTTGTTGTTGTTTTTTTACAACCTCAGTATTTCATGGCAACTACATGACTAAGAAAAACATAATCTTTCAGAGTGCATTCCTCCCATTCTAATTTAACTAAGTGCTTTTTGGTGCATGGTATACATTCAGTCTAGGCATATCACTTAAATGCTTCAATTTTTCATTTGACACTAAAGCAAATCCCATATTTCCCACGCAAGCCTAAAAGAAAGCAATCACTGTTTACACCCAAAGGAAAAGAAGTTTACAAGGACATATTGAAATATTTTTTTCACTCACACCAGCAAGCACTTTCTATTTCATCAATGACTAAAACTATTCAATTTGAAAATAAGCAGGAAAGGAAATAATAATTTCCCTCATTTAGTCACAGTCTACTTTCATTTTGGGTCATCACAGGGAGTGATACATGGATAACTCATGCTGGAGGATTTTTCACTCACATATTCTTCCCAGCCTTTACTGAAGATATCTGTATTGTATGTCTATTTTTAACATAAATGCAAGTTTTTTATTCACTGTATATCACAAGAAGTCTACATTAATGTGATTTCTCTTTTTTCTTCAAAACAGCATTGTCATGCAAGCTACAGTAGGAGGCGAAGGTCTCAATTATCAGAGATATATTAAGTATAAGAAGCCAAAATATACAGAAAAGATACTGTGTGTGAAAACACACAGTAAAAAGATCCTGTGATCATAGGATACATATGCCTACATTTTCTCAGATTCAAATCAAAGTCCAGGCACTGTAAAGCAACTGTTGTTGCTCTGCATGATAAAACTGTATACATAAGCTACTACTTAAATTACGTTTATATGTGAAGTATCTGACATAAAATACATAGTTGCATTACATATAGAGTGCAATGCAGATGTAGTATTGGAAGACATTTTTTCTTATTAAATGTGTCACTTAAATTCACAACAAAGTTACATATCACCATAAAAGACAGTAATAAACAATAGTTTCACAACTTTTGGTGAATCAGAGCAGCTATTTCCTCAAGCATTCAACATATATTTTCCCTTATCCTATCTTGTACAGAACTCATGAAAGTAAAGGAAAGGAGGGGAGGAACTAAGATGAAGAGAATTACATCTGTTTTAAATTATTTTTGTTAAGATCATATAAAAGTGCCCTTGGATTATAGCATTCACCTACAGTGCAACTACAATTTTTTTTGTATATAATATAAATCAGATCATACTTGTCCAGTGATTATCTCTCATGATAGGCAGGGTGGAAATAAGTATGACTTATTTTTAATGAGTGGATAGTTTTTGACAGTTTCCATTTCAGCCTGCACTGGAACTTTTAGCAGTTGTATCAACTAATGATTGGAAAAACATGTCATCCATAACTCAGTGTTGGTCAATCCAGGTAAACAAAGCAGGAAACCTCCTGAATCATAATAGAAGCTGCCTGTTTCATTATAGTCATTGCAAGGTGCTAATGGTGCTGTCTTTCAAAGAAAGACCTGGAGTATCTTAAAACTGATCTCTCTTTAAAACGGATTTATCACTTTTTATAACACCAAGTTCTTCAAAACCATAGGCTGTTGTTTCAAAAGTTAAAGTGATATTATGACTCTTTTACATGTTTCATGCTTGAGTAAAATCTGACTATAAATGTACAAATACTGAAAACAGAAGCAACATCTCAATCAAAATAATTCAAATTACATTTAAGACAAAATAATGAAAATCAAAAAAAAAACCTTTTAAGTGCTTTTGTTTCACAAAGGCAGACAAAAGTAAGAGGAAAAAAGACAATTTTCAAAGCCAAATGTTTAAAAATACGAAACAGAGTAGGAAAGTTGTGAGCCAAATCTCAAAAGCACAGATTAAACTGGAAGCTGAAATCAAAGGGTAAACAATGAGTCTTCAGTTCTAAAGTTAAAGTCCTTGGTAATATATACTAAATGCAATATACTGCCACTCATGAACACGATATACAGAACCATAAAGCATCAGAATAGATATGGTACTGCCAAGCAGAAAAGAAAAAATGATATCTATTATTAAGCTGTTATTAAAACAGTGACACAGTAAAACCCATTCTTTTTTTAAACTCACTCACTTGTGACCAATCTCATGTGCAATGGTAAAAGCTGAACCTAGGCCAATGTCTTCATTAATGCTGCAGCTCCTTTCAGGCTCACACATTCCAGCCACAGAGGCCAAGCCTGAATAAACAGAAGGAGACACAAAGGGTCATGCCAAGGTGTTTCCGTCTTAAAAGCCCTAGTTATAAATGCCTGGATTCTTTTTAATAACCTCTATGCACAGAAGAAGCAGTTGGCAAAAGGTTAACTTTCTAGTCATTTGCAAAAATCACTGGGGGGAATTTCACTTTCCCAGCTAGACATTAATATTTTTGAACTGCAGTCAGTGCTGGAAAATGTCTAGACTAGGGGTTAGATTTATAAATTTTACTTCTGGTAACTTGGGACCACCTAGTAACTTGAGCCAGGACAGGGAATTCAAGAAAGCATTTCTATTTTAACATTCTTGAGCCTGAAGAAAGCAAAATGTATCCACATTATTTTTCTTAAGAAATCTGTTTAAGTTTAGCGGGTTCATAAAAACATATAAGCAACTTTTTAAGCTACAAAAAAGCCCCACATGGTATGTTAAAAAGACTGGAAAAACAAAACTGAATGCATCAATGAAGAGAAAGGAGACATGTTAATAACAAGCATTCATTTAACCATGGAAGTCTTTTCCATTTACCACCAATCATCTTCTGGGATTAAAACCTTATTGTATTACAAGTACTTAAGTACATTTTTTAGAGAAAAAAGCCACTAGCATCTACAGAATATGACTCTTCTGTATCACATGCATTCTTCAGCATCAGTAAGTGACAGAACATATTGCAAACACATTTTGTTACCCCTAGAGAAAGCTCTAACCATCAGAGTTTTGTTTTTGTTTGTTTTTTGTTTGTTTTTGTTTTTACATATTTCTAGTTTCTTATCTGAAAGAGGAATTAAGAAATTACCTGCTCAGTTAAGTTACACTGTAATAATGACCGGAAAAAGTGTAATTGTGAAAGAAAGATGAACCTAGTTTTCACAGGCATTCATGCAAGCAGGCACTCCAGATTATTGTCTCTGGGCTACCAGTAAGCAAGTAGGAATACGACGAGTGCTTCCTGCCTATGTTCACCTTAGTAGGTAATTTGGAGCAGTAGGACCTGATCAATAGAGTAAAGCACTGGCATTAATATTCCTCGCTTATTTCTGTATGCGGTTGGAGACTCTATTTTGGACGTGTCATAGTTTAATCTCCAAGGCCATAGTCCCTACACACATGGTTCAATGCTTTCTGGAGGGAAAACATTAGGGGACATCACAGGAATACAGTCCATGCAGTAATCCAGAGCCTGATTTCTCACGTAAGCACATTTAGAACTTCTGGGGAGTGCATGTTTGAATTTTGTTTTCTCCAAAACCAACCTATCTTGTACACACCAAACTACTCTGGTAGCCAAACCAACAGGAGCAAATGGTAACATTGCATGTCTGTAGGATTTGCCTTAAACTGCTCTAAACCAAATCACTAAAACAGACACACCTACTGAGAAGAGAGGATGAACTGTCAGAAGAAAAAGGTGAGCATTGTTTGCAGTCTGCAATCCACAAAAAACCAACTTTGGTCTACTTACCAAAATTATACTTTTCTAACTGTGTTAAGACATTCTGAAGGCAACATACGAATACTCAGATAACAACTGTCACGTTCCCTGCTGATGTTGCCACATTTTGGTGGTAAAGTGATCTCTATCTGACACCTAACTGAGCACTTGCTTAATGACCACAGAACCAAATTAGTGATTTATAATTCTATACCATGCTTGCAGAATGGGACAGAGCTCTAGTCAAGAAGGCAGTTTATAGTTCTGTAAACAGGTTAAAGGAGAGAGAAGTTGTCCTCCACTACAACCAGAGAGCTTCAGAAGACAGTGGAGTTATAGAAAACACCTATCTTTTCTAAATAGCTCTTCACAAGACTTCTTATTTAAGGAAGCTGGAACAGGAGAACATCTATCCCACAGTGAATCCTTTACTTCTATTTATCCCTTGAACACGAACAATCCAAGTTTCTCCTGACATTCTGGGACCTCTTTGAGGCTTACGTTCACCAGGCCCCTTTGACATGTGCTTAATTTCAGTTACTGGAGGGCAGTGGAACTTAAGCATATTAATACATTGCTGCAAAAAGGCCACAGGGCCTTGTCTCTCTTCCAGTTTAATGCCTATAATGCAAATAAATCACTGCGGTTCTGTTGCCAAGGGTCCAGTAACAGTGAGTTGGAACTGATACCACATGTGAATTTTTTTTAAAATCAAGCCTTTTGTTTAATAAAGCATGTGCCAAAGTCTGTCCTCTGCTATGCTGGATTCAAGTAGAGCAGAATCTGCCTTTATGCCAAATACAGCGAACTAATACACTAATGAACTGTGTTAAAAATATCACATATAAATATCAAGCAATTCGTGCGTGAATGCACTCCCTTTTAAACTTTCTTCTTTTAACACTTGCAAAGCCAATTCTACAATATTGGTAAAGACAGTCTCTTTAGGCTGGTATCTTCTGCACAGACTTCAGAGTAGAACACTTAAAAAAACATTTAAAATAACTGTCAGCAATTGTGGTATACCAAACATGCTCTGAATACTGCTTATATTTACAAAAGGCAAAATTCTGACACTATTTCTCATGTAAATCACTTCCCTGTGCCGCAAGTTTCCTTCTGACTTGAGTGGGACTACTTGTAGAAAAATCAGCATGCACTAAGGCTATCAAAGCACACAGTAATAGAGGGAGACACAAAGAAAGTACAGTGATGGGCTCTGAAAATATTAATAAACTGAACTAGCTGAATTAAAATTGTATTTAACTATGGATGAGAAAGAGGCTTATGAAGGGATCCAAACTGGAAAAAGAAAAAGGTTCCGAATAATATTTCTTTCATAAATTTAAAGGACCATTTAAGCTAATAACTATATAATATAGTAAGTATAAGTTCTGGTGAAAAATGTAGGTTTAGAGAAGACAATAGCTCTCCATCCTGCCCCTAAGGTTGCTAAGTGTGTTTCTCTGTTGCCAAAGCAGTGCAGAATTCTAATACTGCTCCAATTTATATCACTGTGTTATTTTTCCCTAAGTTTGTGAAAGAAACAGTCTGAACCTGCACCCCTTGGTATACTATACATCAGCAGTGTAAACTTCAAAGTCTATTTCTGTTTCTTTTGTATTCTTTTATTGTTTTTCTGAAGTCTTTTGTTTGTATTTTTAATAGATGATAGAGACAGATTGAATGGAAATACACATTAAGTCCTCTCTTCTAATTATTGCTTGGTAAGTTTGAGTCATCTGCTAGGTTTTATCAGCATCACAGCTGCCAGAAAAGGAATGCCCAACAGCAGCTCACTTAGCTTAGAGTTCCAGTAATCTATCACACACAAACCATTACCTAAACAGATCCATCTAGGGTTTCTTTTATCATTCGTGTCTATAGAAATGCAAAATTTTTAAAAGCATAAAGCTAAAATGCCTAATCAGCCAATAAATACGTATCTGAGGTTAAGCAAGCAAACAAACAGCAAATATGAGCTGAAATTTCTCTTTACAATCTTACCCAGTGTTCCACAAGGCTTGTTTTTGTAAGTGCAGATATCATATCTGTTAAGGATAAAAAAGGAGATGAAGTATGTCAGAGGACCAAATCGCTAGGATATTTTGTATATTTATCACATATCTGTATCATAGTTCAAGTAGTCAGACCGCAATCAGCTTAATTATGTGCAGCCAGCTGGTGTCGGCATTTTCTACACTCGGGTGTGAACCGCAAGCTGCAGTACACTCACAGCCGCTGGCCTCAGGCCAGTGGGACACCTGCCAGTAAGAAAAAAAATGGTTAAAGTGGATCTTTGCAATCATGGGCTCCATAAAGCAGCCTACCATGCTGCTGCAACCTTACAGCAGCAGTGTGTAGACTGCTACCAAGGCAAGTTTAACTACTTGCAGCTTTTAAACATACTAGAATTCTCTCAGAGCCTCATGCAGCATTTATAAACTAAATAATATTAATTGTAACTCCTACCATTCAATCTTTCTCATTAAAAGTTATAACTCTCAATTATTGCACCAAAAATCATCAAAAATCTGATACTCCAGTATTATGTTTCTGTGTAATTAATGTACAAGTATCTCAAGTTGAAAATGGAATTAAAATACTTTGTTACATATCTAAGACTAACTACAGTGATCTACAAACTGTATCTCCACGTTCTGAATAAGAAAACCCATGCGGGTCCTCATACCCTAGTGGTAAAAGAATTGCAATGTCTTTGATTTTCAAGAATTTAAAATTATTTCCTTTCAGGATGTTTCAGAATAATTCCCTTGATTTTGAGTGGTGAGTAAAAATGAATATAAGAAGATATGACATTTCTGTTGTGATTTTTAACCTAAATATTTACTAATTTCAAACCACCAGATATTTGCTTTAAAAGTGACATATAACGACCATTTTCAAAAACTGCTTTATTTATAAGCCTGACATGAGATATATACATATACCTTTGAATGCGAAACACTAAGTTCTGTCTGAAAGCCTAATCCACAGACAAAATAACAAAACTTAAAATTTGGATCAAATCCAGTAAATTCTCTTAGCATGTAGAGTGCTGTGAACACATGAAATCCCTGTGATTTTAAATGGACTAAGTGTGGAGCAGTTTGCTAAGCTAAGTCCTAATTTTGAACACAAATGTTCATATGCACTGATGTCACTAAGGAAGCACAAAACTGTGTCACCCTACACACACACATAAAGCTCCCACTGATTTCTAATTTGCTGTTTGGAGAGGGAGAGGTAATTGAACCAGCATTCTTTTAATGTGTTGCGCTATAAGTGGGTTTTGTAAATCACAGAGGTATAAGACGACACATAGAGAGTACACTTCCTGTCCCTTCCATCTTTAAATAAACAGAATTAATATTTATGCAATTAGATGCACAAATACTTTGAAAATACGATAAGCACTCCTCCACTATGACCAATATCAGATGTGTTAGAAGAGGGACCTTCTGTCCCATCTACCTACACACTGCAGAGAAAGGAGGCCAGATACTTCCTGGTCCCCACAAGCTGCAAGCCGTCAGCTAAAGCTGCAATGCATGTAATTGTCCCAACTATGAAGCTCACATAAAAGCAACTTTGGGCCCACCACAAAAAAAAAAAAAAAAAAAAAAAAAAAAAAAAAGGGACAAATTCAGAGATTCAAGGACTAAAAAGCAACATAACAATGATTAAATACTGTCTTCCCCTATCCCTTACATAAAAAGGCAAGTAATTTATCCTAGAAGCTAGACTAAAGTAGTTCAGTAAGGCTATTTAATGTCACATTAAGAGTTGCTTTCAACATGGGAATTTGAGAACAACAGCACTGGGCTTTAAAGTTCTTCTTCCCAACAGAAATCCTCCATGAGTGTCCAGGCAAATAAGAGGAACAGGAAAGCATGGAGTACCTCTTCTGATACAGCATCCCAGTTTTGCAGCTTAGGGAGCTTCTCACTTTGTATCTTAACACCTTATTATTGTTTCTCCTACTATTTCTAAAGCTTAGTTAATTACCCTCAGCCTAAGAGAAAGACAGGTTATTTCCAGTTTTCATCTCTAGGATGTTGTTATGCCTCGATCAGCAAAGTTGAGTCCTTCTGTCGCCTTCAGAGGTCTTTTCTACGATCAAGTCATTTGTTGAACTTGTCTTAACCAACATGAATAAACTGAGCTTTGTCAGTGTACACCATTTTTCGTAATAGGTTTTGATCATCAGCTGTTCAAAAAAGGATTTTCCCTTCAGTGTAAAAGGTCTTATATCTGAAGAAGCGGTAAACTTCAGTCAAAAACTAAATAAAACTAAGTTCACCTAGTTCCAACACGCAGAACTGCAAATCATAAACTGAACTGCAGCTGCATCCAAGCTGGACTTCTGACTTCTTTTAAAGGGATCAAAACACTCACCAAACTATCACATAATTCTTACTCCTATTTCTAAATTACGGAAAGTGAAAAAAAAAAAAAAAAAGATAAGTAGCTTGGACCTTCACATTAGTTTTTGTATACATCTACTCTGCTAGGATAAAAAGACTGTTTACTTAATAGGTGCAGACAATTTAACTAATGCTAAAGAACTGTGAATGTCATAAAATGAATATTTTATAGATTTACTCAGTTTTTGTAATAAACTTTTTATCATAATTCTTCAGTAGTTCAAAACTTTTATGAAAATCTGGTTATTCATTTGATTCCACAGGTCAAGAAAAGCAATACTTACAATATACTGCCTATTGATTTTTTTTCCAGCATCTGCTTAGCCTTATAGAAAGTGGTACACCATAACAACACTTTGCCTTAAAATAAAGTACACATCTTACTTGGTTTCTTCCTCAAAAACTTCTGATCAAAAATAACTATTTAAACAAAGGAAGGAAAAGCATAATATAGAAGTTACACATCTCTCAACAGAAATAGCAGTTCTACTATTAGTTTTATCTTTAAAACTAAAAAAAAAAAACTATTATCTTTAAAACTGCCATTGACAACAAAATTCTAGTTGTATGAGACTTTCCTCAGATACTTCACTTGGGTGGATAAATGGAATTCTGAGTTACAGCTAAGAAAAATATTATCATTGCGAGTTCTCATTCTCTGATTTATATGAAAGCAAATATGTAAGATAACTGCACTACAGATGGAATATTTACATACTACTCCTTTCTAAATTGCAAATGCACCTACAATGGTAAGCAATTCTATTCTGAAACCCCCTCTTGAAACAATCTCTTTTTTTCCATGTTCTTATTTGTCTTCACCGGTTTTGACAATGTAATATTAGAATAGTAAATTTACCAGAATCAGTGGCTTTGTAGGCATATTTGGGAAAGCTTTACAATCCCAAAGAGCATCACAGTTTTTCTAGGACAGAAGCACAAAGCTAATTTTGAGACACTGATTTTACAGCTTCTTGCAACACAAGCTTTACCCCAAACCTAAAGTTTCTAAAAGTATGTTTTTCAACCAAGTTCATGAAGAATGTATCAACTGAGAAGCTTTCCTTTGAGATTGTCACAATGTGTCATGTAAGAATGTGGTAGAACTACCAGGAAAGATCAGATGAAAACACAGGACTTCATATATAAGTTTTTAAAAGAGGGGAAGTAGTTCTAAAGACAAGATGCAGGCCTAGAAAGAGTTTTCAGAGACCACTCATAAGTCTCTTACAGCATTTCAAATCACTGATAAGAGGTCATCAGTCCAAAAAAAATCAGAGGGCTAGCTTTAAAATCTCCCAATTTAAAATAAAATAAGACTTTTTAGAGATTTTACTCATCACCTATTTTCAGACATTTCTGAGAATTTCTGTGTCTCTACAAAGTTTGACACTTGCTCAGGTTTAATTCTTGTTATCTTCCTTTTTCAATGTTAGCTCTGTTTCTCAAACACCAAGTTGTCCTTACCAGCTACAGTAAATACTAAATAACGAGAAGAAAGTTGGACAGAGAAAGCATGGAATAATGAATGCTATAATTTGTTAAATACCTAATTAGATCAGAATCCAAGACAGACACCTCAAGTAGCTTAACAGCTCCTACTATAAGACAGACATTCAAATAGTACCAATTCTATCAATTAGTTCAGAAGTGATACTCATTTACAGTTATTTTCCTATTCAAGTTCTGTCTCATGTACTGAAAATAGATAGCTTGAAAATACAGATATATTTCCCTGCTGTCCAATGAAATATCAACATCACATGAAACTTTAGAAGAGACAAAATACTTCCCTTCCATATGTTCTTTCCTCCCACATGCTCTTGCTGTAATCAGAACCTTTCTACAGTCTACAGGACTACAAAGTAGGAAAGTGTCAGATCATATATCATAACATAAAGGCATATGAACACCCTACAAAATATAAAACTATTTTATTTAGCAATTGACACTCTAGAATTATTCTGCTGACAAACTCTGTAAGTAAACTTCAGCACTGAAGAAACAACCTGGTACTTGCGATTCCAAAATCTGCTCCTCACAGATTTTGGACTGGCAGTGTCACTTTACTCTCTGCTCTGCCTTCACCTACAAGTAGTTTGTTCATTTTTTTTTCTGTTCTGTATCCAGGAGATACAACCTCCCTCCTTTCTTCATATATTTTTTGTGATCTTCAGTGAACGTAAGCTGCATTTTCCTCCTAAAGTTCTTCTACAGCTTTAGGAGGACTGGCTTTGGCAATACCAACAGAAGGCCAAACCACCATTAGCTAGCTTTCACAAGTAGGCCTGCCTTACTATAAAGACAATTTCGAGAGATACCAACTCTACAATCACAGCAATGACCACTGGGCTCAGTCTAGGCTCACTACCTAAAAAGCATCCTCCCATCCCTCTTTTTTTACACTCTGCACTGAGTTCTGTGCTCTTGCACTTAAATTTACTGCCACCCAACCTAGCTATTTTAGAGGCTTGTGTATGCCTTCAGAATATTCAGTATACAGTCACTGGTTGCAGTGATCAGCTTCAGAAGAAGCTACAAGACTTCTAGCTGCTTTACCCATTCTTAAATGAATCCATCTGTCTTCTTCGGAATATGTTTATTCTAAGAGATGTTATGCTTTA